GTCAGAGCTACAGAGAAGGCAAAATTCCAGGGAGGGCACAGTGGGCTAGGAAGATATTCACCTCCCTTGGAAGCACAGACCTCTGCTGTTTTACAGGCCCCTTTTCCACACCCTTGTCCATCCCCATTTCCAAGTACACAGTTGCCCTACTTCATGTGAGTGTTCTGTCAACGCCCAGGCATTGTCTGTTGGGTGGATCTGCCCGCATCTGAACTTGCCCATCCACTCCGAGGTTCTATAAAAATCCAAAGGAGTCATTTAGCGACTAGATTCATTGTTTCTATTTTTCCCTCTTGATTCCATAAACTTCATGCAGATTTTTGCAAATATGATCTTACCCGAAATGCTAACATCTACAAAACAGATAAAGAAGAGCGTTGGTGAGTTAAATAGAAAGAAGAGGAAAGGTGTGAGGTCCCCAGAAGTCCCACAAGGCTCTGCCCACCTCACCTCAGCTCCTCCAGCAGCCTTTGAGGTACCCTAGGGATACTCAGGCCCTGGCAAGGACAGCAAAGTCCCTGGATTAAATCTGTTTAGCCCTTAGCATCCTGTGATTTGTGATGTCACTCAAACCTCAAGTCTGGATCTCTGTGTTATTCCTTTTGCATCAGATGCAGATAATTATGCAGTGGGTGTAGGAGGAGCTATATATGGTGCAAGTGACAGAGTTTTTGCTGTTTGTAACCTTGCAGGGATCTGGGTGGCGGGCAAATGGTTGGCAATATGTTTCCTCAAAACAATGTGGTCAAGGACGGAAGGCCCCAGGGGCTGAGAAGGACTGTTGTAAACACAGAGTGTGGCTGAGCTCTGTGCTGGGCAGGTTTGTGCTGGCTTAAAGGGATGCTAAAGAAAGAACTGTGATCTGCTCTCTTTTATTAACCTTTTAATTTTTTTTCTATCATTCATCACTATCCAGTTCCTTGCTATTGACTTGCCAGAAGAAAGCTCTGTAGGAGGAGCAGCTCTATTTGTTTGGCTCCTTACTTTTTGACTGGGTCTGGCACATAATAGACACTCAAGAAACATCTGTTGACAGGATGGATGATTGACAGATA